TCTGGGTTTATACACTCTAATATTTACTTTACATTTAAGCACTGCTGTCAGTCTTCCTCTGTTTCTCAGGCTGTATGCTCACTGGAAATACGAAGATCGGGTTGTCTGGCTCAATATAAGTAACATCGGTAGACTATATTTTCCCTCAGTAGTACTCCAGTTCTTGAGTTTGGGGAAAGAATGGGCAAGCCCAGTACTGGTCATATTCCTCTAACAGTTTTCCACTCAAATGAGTTAGATTATCCCACTTTTTTCAGAGTCTTTTCAAGGATATCATGAATATAGTTAGGACCAATCCCAGTGTTATCTGTAGATAGCTATAGCCCCACCCCTAGCCTCCTTTCCAGCATTATCTTTAGAAGTATCACTGGGCTGTATACAGAAGGTTCTGTTTGGCCTGTCACACCTCTTCTAGATTCTCAAGTACCTGGGGCCCATTAACTGGAGAGCAGAATTCCAGGATGCCTGGTTACTTCAACCCGTCCTTCTGCTCAGGGCCCAAAGTAGCTCTGTAGCCATCATGAACTGCCCCTCAGTCACTCTGAGACAGATACCTCAGCATAGAGACACATCATTGATTGGTCACTGCTGGCCTAAAATCCTAGACCGTACACAAATCCAACCTGAGTACTTCCAGTGTTACATCTATATCCTTTCTCTTTTTTTTCAGGAATTGAGAAATCAAGAAATGTCTCCCAACCCCACACAGATCTGACTAGTTGCCCTATGATAATAACTTTGAGTCCTGATGTCTTTGCAGACAGAACACATCTCTTCCTCTTCTATTCCCTCTCTCTACTCCCCATCTCCCTACCCTGCCATCCCATAATGTACAACCTATGGAAAACTTTAGCAAGCTTTTTACATTCAGCAGTTTTCAGTCAGTGCTCTGAAATTTTGACAGAAATAGTGTTCCTAAAAATAGTTACATGTTAAGTTCATTTTAAATAATCCTTCTTAAAAATTATTTTATTTATTTATTCAATCTGTGTGGTTGTTTTGTCTAATGTATGTAAGTGAACCACGTGCATGAAACGTCTGTGGGAGCCAGAAGAGAACGTCGGATCCACTGAATCTGGAGTTACAGATAGTTGTTAGCCACCATGTGGGTGTTGGGAATCAAAGCCTGGGCCACCGCAAGAGCAGCCAGTCTTCTTAACTACTGATCCCTCTTTCCAATTCCTTAAATTCCTTTCCTGTGTGCCCTACAATATAATTCCCCAACTTTTCCTTAGCTTGGAGTTGATCCAAGTCCTCAGATGTTCTACCCTCAAAGGTGCAGCATAGAAATTTTCACTCTGGGTACTGGAGAAATGGCTCAGCAGTTAAGAACACTGGCTGTTCTTGCAGGAGGCCCAGGTTCAAATCCCAGCACCCACATGGCAGCTAACAACTGTCTGTAACTCCAGTTCCAGGGTATCCGACAGCCTCTTCTGTCCTCCCCGGCATTGCATGACACAGGTGCAGTCACCGACACGCAGGCAATACATGCATACACATAAAAATAATAATAAATAAATTTTAAAGAAAAGAAAATTTCACTCTATCCCAGCAGGGCAGGAAAGCTTAAGAATCTGGTAAGAAACAATGCCACAGAGCCTGTTCCTTGATGTCCCTCCAACATGGCACATATCAGATAGTGTCACCCAAAGAGTCTTCAGTGCCCCCCGTTGGTTTCTTAGCATTACAATGGACATATGTAGACTATATCATTTGCTTTCTTTTGGTTTAAACTAACAGAACCCAGCCCCTACACTTAGCAGTATGTTTGTGAGTATGCATCAACAACGAGAAGACTACCAACATGGCAAAGTTATAGGAAACTGCATCATTGCCAATAATCATTCAAAACTGTAGAGATTTCCAGTTTCTTGTTCAGCTGGTCTTTTATACCAAGTACAAATATTTTTCCTAATTTTCAAAAGGCAGAAAAGCATTGTATGGAAATAGGAATGTGTAGAGTCTTTCTGGCTGCCAAGCACTGTAGTGAGCACTTTATAAACTAAGTCGAAATTCTCCGAACACTCTGACAGAAGCAAATAAAACAGGAGAACTCTGCTAGTTAAGCCTGAGCTGAGGAAAGGTTAAGACACTTGAGCAATGCTAGCTAGTAAAGGGCAGCACAGGAATTTCTACCTGACACAGCCTTTTAATGTTAGGAATATGCAAGAGAATGCAAAACCTGTAGTTTTGGGAGCAGAGTTAGAGCACCTTTCAGTTGTTCACAAGAACAACCACCACTAAACTCTGACTTAAGTATGGCATAGCCTTTTGCTCTGTTTTGGACATGTGCTTTTGTGGCTCTGAACATTATTTGAGAAAGAACTTGCTAATAGTTTGAGCAGATCTCACTTTAAAATCTTTATGTATGACTCAATAGACAGGTAGGTGTTACTGTGCTTGGCATGCAAAATTTAAATTCTTCAATTTTATATGAAAATGATTAGCATTTTCTCATAGAGTGTTACATATTCCTACATATATCTCTTGTGACTGTGGTATTTGGGGAGTTTTCAGAAAGAAGTATGAGATAACTTGGAGCACGATTACATTAGTACATAACATTTCATTAGTCCTCGCTGCTTGTCCAGAATCACCAGATCCTCAAGCAATTTCTCCCTTGTTTTATGCAAGTTTTTTGACTTCCCAGTGATGATCCCTTTCAGGCTCAGTGCCTTTGTTTTAGTTGGGAGCACACTTTGGCTCCATTTTCCCACTCTGAATCGTACTTTCTTTGCATCGTGTGTGTCACACAAACCTATAGGATTAGAATTCCCCCGTGGTCAATATTCATGGAAATTCTGATTATCAATAACTTCCATCTATTCAAACTATTGGGACACATCGGAGTTTGTCCTTCAAAGTTGTCTCATCATCCCTGCAGGAGACATACCACTCACTTTGACAGTGTCAACATCCATCAGGAAAGAACGGTTGTTGTATTTTAAATGTGTTGTGACAATGATATTAATTCCCTACGCAGTGCAGAAAGCTGCTGCTTCTACACTCAGGATTTCTTTCTTACTAGTCATGGCCTCTGCAATACATTTCAGACAGTAAGAAACTACTCTTGCCCTAAGGTCAGGATTCACCACAACATTTATAGATGTGAGAGAGTGCTGCTACAGCTAGTGACCTTGTTTGGATGCCAGATACCTGTTCATACTCTTCTGTCCTAGCTGATCCCTTGACCTAAATCCTCGGGCTCTATCAGTTCTTCCCCCTAAAATTTATATGTCTTGTCTCATTGCTATCTAAGCTATCATGACAGTATTTAAATGGTCGAGAAAAAGATTGTAGACATCTTCTGCTACATGGGCTTTTCTCATAAAATGTTGAAATAAACTTAAAAATTTATTGATATTATTCTAATGTGCTGTTATGGATTCTAAGCAACTGTCTCTTTTATAGGTAACATAATTAGGAGTGAATTAAAAATGCAGACTTTATGATTCCAATTAAACTATAGGCCACAATCCATTAAAAACAGATTACCCACATTAATTTAGATGTAAGGAAAAATAAACATGCCACAAGTTTAGAATTTTCAAAATAAATAAGTAACAATTTGAGATAATTTATGTTTAGCTAATAGTTTTATAAACACAATCTAAATTTTTTTACATTTTACCAGAGAAAAATTCTTAATTTTTACTTAAATTACCTAATTTTTACACATATATGTCATTCTTTATCTTCTTTCTTTACTTCACTCTACAAATATTTTTTTAAAAGCTTCTATAACATGTGAAAGACTAGAAGAGAGTCTATATTTGAGTTTTGAAAATATATTAGGTTTAAGAATGCCCCAAACTCAAAAATATTTTACTTGATGGATATTATTTTGTAAAATCAAATCAAATCTACTGACTGAAATGAACTTTAAGCAAACTGAGATTGCAGTATCATTGTAAAACCGCTCATATGAGTAGAACTTAAGAAAAAGTCATAGAAGATGGTGATTTCCCTTTTCTACAGCTGGGAGAGGCTGAAATGTTTCCCTGAAACTTGGGAATACTAAACACTCTTGCTGCTCAAGTCAGGAATGCAAGAATGAGAAAGATATGGGTTTGAATTTGGCATGTATGACATGGGTGAGCCCATGGGAAAGCACAGGAAAGATACCAAAACAATTAAGAAAGCCTTCAAGCCTTCTTCAGTACCTGGGGCCACAGAGAAGGTTAGAAACAAAGTAGTTAAAATAGAAGACTGAGGGCAAATCCAATCACAGAGTTGAAAGTATTATATTAATGACATAATTTAGCACCAGTATTCTAATGGATTGAGGAGATGCTGTCTTTTGCAGTTGAAGGCAATATTGCTGATAAAGATACTTACAGATGGTGCAGAAAGGAAATTCTCATCAGGATGTCTACAGAACACACAAAGCAGGGCAGCTAAGCTGCCGCTCTTCACAAAGAAACAAAAGTAAAGATACAAGAGAGAGCTTGGAGAGAAGCTAATATGTGGCAGCAACATACTTTGAAAATGAAGAGTTTAGTTCTGAGAAGATATAGCACGTGTGGGTTTAAGACAGAAGATGTGCCGTGATAGTCAATTTAAAATCAATCTCAAAAATAAGGACCTGATTGAAATATCTACATTTTCTTGTCTAGCTCATGCAGTTTCAAAGTCACCATGTCCTAGGAAAAGCTTTCTCGTTGAAAAGCTCTTGAGTGCCACATGTTAGCGTATTAAGAAGAAAATAGAAACAAGGTAGCCCATCAGCTATTCTGTTTTCTCCTGTGAAGTCTGGATCAGCAGAGTCTGATAGTTAAATACACTGGGGGAGACCTAAATATGAACTAAAGTAATGGCACCCTGAACCACTCCTGTTCACAGGAAGTCCTGGAGGAGAAATGAATTGAAAACACACGGTAAAGAAAGGAACCGGCGATGGCCTTGGACTTAGGGGTTTATGGAAGCCTTGTGTGTGCTGTTTAGGATCTATTTCTACTTGGATTTCACTGCATGCTGAAATGCTCATGGCCGAGCCTTACCGCCTCCACTTCAGCTGGGTCGTACCAGACGTTGATGTATGGATGCTGTAAGGCATCATCCACTGATATCCTCTTTGCTGGGTCAATCACTAGCATCTTTGACAATAAATCCCTGGCTTGGCTGGCTGAAACAATAAGAAAAAATAATTCATAAGATTTTTATTTTCATTAAGAGAATTTTCTGTATGGGGGACCAGCTAAGAAAGCACCTTTCTTTAAAGCATCCGGGAAATTTCTGGGTGTGTTTCAAAAAGAAATGCATTATATAATGTTTTATATCTCAAAGTCTGACATCATTTTGAGGGCACTTCGATGGTTATATGCCATGAATATGTGAGTATAATTATTTATTCAGAATCACGAATATCATTTATCTTCCATAAAGTTGGAATAAGCAAGGTAACCTATGCATGTGATCTATAAGAACCTAGGAAAGATGGAACAACAGGCCAAGGAAATGCAAAGTACATAATGAATCTGCAGAGATACAGGATGCACATGTGGATGGCTGTTAGAAGTCAACATTTGTACTTTCATGTTCTCATACATACAGTGGGGTTAGCACTCAAATTGACTTAGGAGCTTACATAGTCCAGATTTCTTATTTATTTACTTTGTATGTATGAGTCTCTTTCCTGTGTGCAAGGGCACTCATGCATGAAATGCCCATAGAGGCCAGAAGAGGGCGTTGGATCCCCTGGAACTAGAGTTAGCCACCATGTGGGTGCTGGGAGCTGAACTCAAGTCTTTGCAAGAGCAGCCAGTGTTTTTAACCTCTGAGCCAGCTCTGTAGCCCAATAGCCCAGATTTCTTACAGGCAATAAAAACAATCTGGAAAACATATGAAAAAAAAATAACATCATTCAATTACTGAATTTCACTTTAGCATTCTGTGTTCATCAGGCATTTAAGTCAATGGAATCCTGATTTGATGGAATCAAGTGGCCAATAACTAATGCCAGTCTCATACTACACCTGATAGTAATGAAAAGCTCCACATTACATACATGTTGTCATGGTGAATTTCGTGACTGGGGATAAGACTCGTTATACAAATACATGGTTTTTATCAGTAAGTATATTCATTTGATAATACTATTAGATTTTTAAGATTGATTTATTTTTATTTTGTGTGTATGAGTGCCCGCATGTATGAATGTGTACCATGTGCATGTGTGGTACCTATAAAGGTCAAGAGAAAGTGTTGGATCTCCTGGACCCAGAGTTACAGGTTGTTGTGAGCTGTCCTGTGGATGCTGGGAACCAAACAAACTCGAGTCTTCTTCAAGAGCAGCAAGTGCTCTTACCTGCTGAGCCGTCTTTGCAGTCCCTGAACATGTGAAAGTACATTGATTTCTGCACATGTGCAGGATCACTAGTGTGTCCTCTGCAAGAGCAGCCCGGGCTCTTAACCGGTGAGCCATCTCTCCAGCCCCATATTCCCAATTTTAAAGTATCACTGTGTATTGTTCTACTTTAAAGGAAATAGACACATTTTGTAATGAATTCCAATGTTTCATTTGTAGTGTAGTAAAATGTTTACAGGAAGATACATTTTTATCAAAATACTTGTTGGCAGAATTAACTTTTTTGTTATCAAATGTTCATATTAAGGCAACTAGGTGTGGTGGCACACGCCTTTAATCCCAGTACTCATGACGCAGAGGCTGCCTGGTCTCCATTAGCAAATCCAGGCCAGCTGCAGCTACAAGGAGACCTTGTCTCAAAAAGACCGGAAAAAAAAAAAAAAAAAGAAAGAAAAAGAAAAAGAAAAAAGAAAGAATTTAAAATAGTATAAATAAAATTCAGGAAATATAACTACCCTGCACGAACTAAAGGTGGTCTCTATGAATATGTGGAGCATTTTTTTTTCTCCTGCGGTTCTCTTTTATTTCTACTAACCATTTTCTGATAAACATCATTTTCTAAATTGATTATCATTATTTCCAAATAACCCTCTGAAGCTCACAAGAATAATAAAAGCTAAGAAAGACTTACAAATTCAAATTCTAACATTTTAATGACCTCCTAACAGCCTAATGGAACTGTTTATTTCCATGGTTCAAAGATCTCTTTGCTTTGTAGCTGACTTCGCACTCAGATTCATGTACCTGGCACTCCCAGACTCTTCGCTCAAGCAATCCGTATTTCTCTTAGATGGTCAGGGACTGAATGGTTCCTCACTGATCAGGGAATGAACCTCACTAATTCTGGATCATCTTATTGAAAAGCAATAGTCAGAACTATTGCAGGCAACAGTGAGATGTGCCCATGCCATGTCTTACATTTTTAGGTAAATGTGTTCTTTTCTTAATACAATAAGAACAAATTTTAACTTTGGCTGATTATATATTATCATAATTCAAAATGTGTCAATTTTACATCAGAAATGAATCACAAATATGTGTAGGAATCAATCTCATGATGAATTGTACTACACAGTATTGTACTACACAGTTTTCTGCTGGTGTTTTCATTCCCATTAAATAGTTGGTGAGGGCTTTGCTATCTCCATATTGTCACATCACCAGTGTTTTCAGAGGAAGGGATTGTTTTGCCTAGTATGTCAACTAGTGCCATGAAGGCAGGCATTCTAAAATACCTTTAGGTCTTTGATCTTCACATGGGCATTGCTCATAACTTGGCTGATGCTTTGGTCACTTAGAGACTACATATCCACAGAGAAAGAAAAACTTCCAACTGTGTATGGAGAATAAAGGGAAGATGCTGACCATCTTAAACCCTCTATCAGAATCTGGAGGAAGATGGAAGTGATGGCACACACCTTTAATCTCAGTGCTGGAGAAGCAGAGACAACTGGATCTCTGTGAAATCAAGGCCAGCCTGGTCTACATAGTGAGTTCCAGGCCAGCTGGGGCTACAGGGAAAGTTTGTTTCAAACAACACAATATAAAACAAAACAAACAACAACAAAAATCTGGAGGAGATGAACAAATCCCAGGAAACAGCACCACAGTTTAATTTTCTCTGTTTCATTGAAATCAACCTTAGTTATTTAAATTAAGTTTATAAATAAAGCCTGTAGATTATTAAATGCTATGAACACTTGAAATTAACCTCACAAATATAAGTTTACCTTTTTCTTCTTTGATAGTATGTATTTTAATATAACTTCTTATTATGTTTAACAGTTGTCAACCAGGCACTGTTGAAGGTGCTTCACAAAATACTAAATCAATGAAACCTCCCTCAAATTCTCAGCCGTCATTTGTTAAAGTAAGAAAGAAAAGGTTAGTTAAGTGGTAGAGGGTAACACAAACTACAGGACAGAGAGGTAGAATTTGAATCCAAGCTGAAGGGAACATATTTGTTCCAAAATTAGATTCTCAGGAATGTTCTAAATGATAATAAGAAGTAGAATATTATTATTTATCTTGCATTTAGTGCATTGGTGAATTTATTCTTTTTCAGTGCAATAGATACATTATCACTTCAGTTTAGTAAGTGAAGATTCTGAGGTTCGCTACTCAAGGAATACATCATCATAGAATGACTTACTAATGCAGATGCCTATAACCGAATAAAAAAATGTGTACATGAAATCTAGTTACTACTTCATAGTGAAGAAGTGGTGCTTAGATGTTCCATAAAATATAAGACACAGACACCTATGTCCACAAAACTTTACAACTGAAAACTTGCATTGAAAATATTTTCTATGTACTAAAAAGAATTGGATAATGTCTTCCAAGGACAGAACACTGACTTCTAAATTTATATATCAAAAATAATTTTAAGATTCTAAATAAACTCCTATGAAACAGTTAACCAAGAAAGCTTTTTGCCAGACATGCCTCTTCTTGAGTTAATTCAAAGGAGGACAGGTCTCTAATGGGTGGCTTTTCACTGTGTCTCACATACTGTGGTCCTCGACTGGTCCCGGGGCATTCATACCTTTAAGTTTATTGTGCTCAGAGTCCGCTGGGAAGAGGGAGTCTGGAAAGAGCTTGGGGAAGGTGAGTCCTGCATACTTGGGCCGATTCTCCACGTAGTTTCTTACTGTGGGTTGCAATTTCTTCATGAATTCTGGACAAGGTGTTCCTAGTTGCTCAATTACTTTGTTCCACTGGTCAATATCTGAGAATTGAATAGTTAAGGGAAAACAGAAGTGCAGTCCACTAGCTCTTGCCTTTCAATTATCAGGAGGCTGACTCTTGTCAGAATTAAGAACCATCAACCACACAGCTCGAATTCTAATAAACACCAAGGAGAAAAATGTGAAATAAAAACTGTCAGATAGTAAATCTTGGAATTTTAAATTTGGAACCTCTATGCTCTGAGAGAGCTAGTATTATTTAACAAAAACAGAATTATGATGTCTTTGGCTTATAAAAACTAAAAAACTATTCAAATAACACAAGAGAAATTAACTTTTATATAATCATGTGATTAGGATAAAATATAATGACAAATCATAAGAAAATGTATCATGCCTGGGAAGATGAAAGATTCAAATAGTGCAGGAAAAAATACCTTACTGAAATAAAATTTCATATACTCATAATACTAAGGATTAAAAAGAAAACTCTCGCTTCATCATAATATTTTAACTTGGTTATCACAATCATTTTTTTAGAATATCAAG